GCTCAGCCTGCCTTCTGCCTCAGTTTCCCCTCTGTGCTGGAGGGTCATGACCCTTGAGGGTCATGCAGGAAGGCACGTGGTGCACGTTCCCAGCTCCGTGGGCCTCGAACTGCCCCCCCCACCTGTGGTAGGCAGTTGGCTGGGGACAAAATCCTCAGCAAAAACAACTTCCATTGGGAGAAGGGAGACTGTGGGCGGTGACGTCCTGGCACCTCCAGAAATGTTGTACAATCTCCTCATTTCCCTTGATGCTCTGAAATTCACTATAATGTATCCGGTGGGTTTTGCATTTATTCCTTTTCACTATCATGGACCCTTTTGATTGGACCCGACGTTCAGGCCCCTCCCATTGGAGAAATTCTCTTAGACCTTCCATGATGTCCTCCACACATTTGTCAGCTTCTTGTACTACAGTGAGATCCCCGGGCTGTAAAGAAAGGAGGTTTGTTTGGGCTCCTGGTTCTGAAGGCCCAAGGTCAAGGGGTCACACATGATGATGGCGTCTTCCTGCACCAGGTCAAAGTGGCAAAAGACATCGTGTGGTGAGAGGCGAGGAGAGCACCTGCCTGCCTGTGCCTGTGAGTGTGTGTGTGAGTGTGTGTACATGCACGTGTGTGTGCCTTTTACAGAGCCTTTGGGGTCCCGTGGGGCTCCGTCCTGAGGACCTATCTCACGCAGCACCTCCCCAGCGCCCTCCAAGTAACACGGCTGGGCTGAGTGTCACCCGCTTCCTGTCTGATAACTGGGATTAAATCCTCAACAAGGCCGCTGCCCCAGGAGGCTCGAGCTGTGTCCGACCACAGCCCCTGCCTCCTCTTCTCGGCTGCTCCTGCCAGAATTATTAGCAGGCACGTGCCCAGCACCTGAGGAATCATCTCCCTCCTCTCATTTTCGGTGTCTTCTTCATCTGCTGCCAGAGAGACGTCTGCTCTTCCCCTCCACCCGGCCTACTGCCCTTTAGCACTGCTGGCCTGTTGCAGCCTGGCCCGGGGTCCCATCCTGTTCACAGAGCAGCACAGAGTCCGAGGTTGTCACCCCCGTCGTCTCCCGCTGTTTGGGTCTCACACGGTCACAGTAAGGTTCTTGGGGACTTGCTAACGTCATGACCGGGTTGGCAGGCAGGGGAGGGGCTCTGGACTCCAGAACTCGGGGGGCTTTACTCTGTAACACTGAGGGGGCTGAACGTCTCCCCAGATTCATCTGCTGGTGCCCTCGCCCAGGGCCGCAGAGCAGTTAGGACCTGCACCGGTATATGCGCCTGGCTAGGTGGGGACCCTGCTGCTGAGGGGCGAGGCTGCTTCTGTTTGCCACGGACACAGCCTCGGCTCAGCGGGGTGGGAGTGCAGACGTGGACCGTGCTTCTCGGGAGAGCAGCCCCAGGCCCTCAGGACCTGGATATCTGTAGGGGTCAGTTGGCATCGGCCCAGGGGTCCAGGGAATCAGGAGTGTGGACACCCTGACCCACCTGGTGCCATGGGGTGGGGGGAGGCTGTCCTTGCACTGAGGACAGAGGTGGCTGTGCAGGACTCTGGCACGTGCAGGGCGGCATGGTCCTGAGTGCTGTGGACATGGCCTGGGGGCGCAGTGGGGGCCTTTCCTGGGTGGACACCCTGGGTCCCAGGAGGAAGAAGCCACCCCATCTGGCTGTCAGCAGTTTCCACTTTGCTTTCCTTGCTGTGAATGTGATCGGTGAGTGAAAGCTTCACCGTGCCTTCCTTTTCCATGTGGCAATCAAGATTTTTTTAAAGATTATCTCTTTCTGAAGATTATTAACATGAGTAATTTAGCAACCCAGTGTGGCGGCACATGCCCATAATGCTAGCGCTGGAGAGGCTGAGGCAGGAAAATCACTGTGAGTTCAGGGCCAGCCTGAGCTTCGTAGGGAGTCTTTGTCTCAAAAAACCAAAACCAAACCAAAACAAAAAGAATGAGTAATTCAGGGATTGTAATAGAAACCTCGGTACAAAATCAGTGTCCCAGTGCCAATCCCAGCACCAGCTCAAAATAAGTACGTCTGTTGCTCGTGGGGAAACAGCATTCAGACCGAGAGGGTTTGACCCCGTAGCAGGCTGCGTCTGGTCGGGGAAGGCCCGGGTGTGGCCTGAGGAGGAGACACACTCAGGTGAGTTCAGGAAGTGGGGGTGACGGGAGCATCCGGGGTGCCCACAGCGGATGGGGTGGAGGCTGACGCAGGCAGGTCTGACTGCCCCGCAGCCATGGGGCTGCTAGGAGCATCCTGGGCCAGCCTGCCCACCCCATCCTGTCTCTCTGCTGCCCTGGCCTGGCTGTGGGAGTTCACGCTGGCACTGGTCACGGTCTGGGGGCCCAAGTGGCAGCCGGGCTCACGGGCCCGGCCGTGCTGCACTCATGGGCTTACGGGTCCCCTGAGGCCGGGGGGCAGGTTCCTCACTTTGACCCCTGCCCCCCAGCCCAGCCCAGTGTCGGGGCCACTGGAACACCTGGCCGTGTCTGCTGAGCCCAGCACCCAGCCCCGTGGGCAGGCGGCCTCCACAGAACGTGCAGGTGGTTGCTCAAGTGTCCCTGCTATGGTGTTGTCTCCTCCCATGCGTGACCGCACACCTGTGCTGCAGGGGCGGAGTAGGGGCAGGAAGCCCGGCTCCTTTACCTCCAGGGTGGGATAGTCCTCGGCGAAGATCAGAGCAGAGCTGCAGCGAGGAGCCTGGGCTGGGGATGCCTGGCCTGTCCTCACCCGTTCATTCACACATCCACGCATCCACGCGATCACTCACGCAGGTGTCCCCAGCACTGTCAGGCCTCGGGGAGACAAGGCTCCATTCACACTTACAGTACCCCTCCAGGGGCAATGGCTCCTGTCCTGGGTCCAGGGAGATGACCTGGACCAGACCAGGCCAGGCCAGACCAGACCAGAGCAGAGCAGAGCAGAGCAGAGCAGGGGAGTTTTGAGCCCTGGCGACCCTGGACAAAGTCCCGGCGTTTCCAGTTGTTTTCCGGCGTCCACATCTGCATCCCTCTGGCTCCCTGTGTCCCTCTTCTGTCCCCTGGAGCAGCTGTTTGCAGTCCCATCAGCCCCTGACCCTCCTCCCGCCTTCCTCCCCGGGTGCCCGAGTTTGCCCCTGGGGCATCAGGACAAAGCAGAGGAAACAGTGTGGCCACATCTGCAGGGTGAGGGCCCTGGCTCAGCTTCTCATACCATCGTGTCTTGAGGGGCAGCCTGGGTGTAGCTTGGCCTTGGGCTGGGACAGAGCCCTGCAGAGGCCACTGGTCCTGGCACCTCCGTCTCCCGTGCGGGAGGGCTGGGAAGGTTTGCTGGAGAGATGGGTTTCCAAGGGGCCTGAGGCCAGCGGGGGCCCTGGGGCAGGGGTTCCTGGAAGGCCAGGGAAGGTAGGGGGGCAGAAGTCACTGACCAGCTGTGGAATCTCCAGAGTTGGGCTTTGTCTTGCCAGGGGTTGGGGCCGGGGGCTTGGGCCAGGAGGACACCAGGCTGAGGCGGGCAGGGAGGACCCCGTCCAGAGGGGTGACCACCAGGGAAAAAGAACAAGGAGGGGCCAGGACCCCAAGAAGAGGACTTCTGGCGAGGGAGCAGTGGCTGGCGGAGGCCATCTGCGAGGATGCCACCCCATGGCTGGTGGGAGCTCTGGCTGAGTAAAACACTGGCAGGTCTTTTCCGGGCTGAGCAGATTCCCCCAGGGGTCAGACCCTCCACTGCTGAGAACCGAGACTGCTTGTGATGACGTGGGCTGGTGGCCCAGCTCCGGCACTCTCACGCCCCAGCCAGCACCCTGCCGGACACTCAGCCCTGCCTGGGGCCTGAGCAGACAGCACTGGGACGTGGCAGAGCCAGAAGGAGCCGTCAGCCACTGAATGGGTGAGGCAGGGACGCCCCATCTCGGAGTGGGTGTGGGCTGAGGACCCCGCCGACCATGAGAGGGAGAGACCAGCACCCACTGAAATGTGGGGCGGATGTTACCTTTTCTGCCCTTATTTCTGCTTGGATGTTTGTTTGGGGCTTGTTTTGAGACAAGGCCTCACAGTGTAGCCCAGGGGGGCCTTGAATTTGCAGTGACTGCCCTGCCTCAGCCTCCCAAGGGCTGGGATCGGGGGAGCGTCACCACTCCCAGCTGTTTGTTTCTGTGATGCTGGGGACTGCCCTGGGCCTTCTCACTGAGCTGCACCCCAGCCCTGTCTATTGATACGGTGAAACAGACTTGCTGAGGTGCCCAGGCAGGACTTGAGCTGCAGTCCTTCCGCCTCAGCCTCCCCGAGAGCTGGGACTGCAGGTGAGCACCACCGTGCCCGGTTCTGTGCTGTCATTTTTAAAGTAACCGCTTGACCTCAGAGAAGGCCCTGTGGTCTCTGGGGCTGATGGTGCCCCCCACCCTCCAAGCAACACAGCACTGGGAGCCCCAGGCCACCCCTCTGGGACACAGCAGAGTCCTTCCTGCCCAGTAGCGGCCTGTGGGGCCCCCCTGGCCCTCCCAGAGGCAGTGGACGAGAGGGGATGAAGGGAAGGAGCCGGCCCTGCACCCCTCACCGAAGCGGCGGCGTCTTCCAGAGCCCTGGTCAGCGCAGTGTGCAGGCCATGTGACTCCACCCCACTGGCGTCGGGAGTAAACAGGCCCTGCATGCAGCAGGGAGGCTCCAAGAGGAGGAAATGTTCTGGCCTCAGGCCTCACCAAGACCCATCTGGCACTGTGTAGGCTATTAGGCGTGGCTTTTAGTCCAAGAGGGAAATTCTGCCACAGGAGCTGCCAGCCACAGGCTTTCCATATCCAGAGCTGAGGGTTATGAGTGGGAACCCCTGCATGAGCCCGGGTGATGTGGGACGGATGACGTGCAAGGTGGTGCCTCAGCAGTCTTATTTATTTATTTATTTTGTTTGTTTGTTTGTTTTTTGAGACAGGGTCTCACTATGTAGTTGAGACTGACCTGGAACTCACTGTGTAGCTCAGGCTGGTCTCGAACTCACAGCGATCCTCCTGCCTCAGCCTCCCGAGTGCTGGAGTTACAGGCGTGCGCCACCATGCCCGGCTCTTGGAGGGTTTTATAAGAAAAGTGTTTTATAAGACCATCTTCAGAGGGGCTGCTCATCTGTGTGCACCCGAGGTGTCTGGAATTGCCTGGGACCCATCTGGAACCTGCTCCCAGAGTGTGTGTGTGGGGTCCTCCCCATGGTCCCCTGGTCCCAGCTTGGCCATCTGCTGGGATTACAGGGGTGTGCCACCACACCCAGCTTTAACAGTCTTTTTGAAAAGGACACTAAAGCCAGGCATGAAGGTGCTGGCTGTAGTTGCAGCTGTCCAGGAGGCTGAGGTAGGAGGAGGATTGCTAAGTCCAAGGCCAGCATGAACTATATAGTGAGTCCTTGTCTTCAAGAACCAAAATAATAAATAAATAAGAAAATAAAGCTCCCAGGATGTTCTGATGAGACCTGCAGTGTGTGCCCACCATGTAACCCCTCCAGGGTGTCCTGGCACAGTGACAGGAGGCCAATCGTGGGTTCTCTGGGAACACAGAGCCCTCTACTAGGGCTGTGGTGCAGTGTGGGTGGGGTGTTGCCCTTGGGCTCATAGGCAGCCAGGCTGCCCCTGCCCATAGGACAGTGCCATGCTGACGAGGTTGCCAGGCTGAGAGGAGGGGACCATGCAGGGCCATGGGGTGTTGCTGGGGCGACAGAGGCCAGCTACTGGCGGGACTGAGCCCCAAAGGTGCTGTGCCCCTTCTTCTGCCTCCACTGTCCTGCTTAGCCAGCCTGAGTCTGGGCGGCAGGACAGCATGGCTGGCCCTGTCTCCGTACCCGTCTGCTTGGGCAGCTGCGCCTTCTTGGGCCCTGTGGCTCTGGAGCTGAGGCTTTCCCAGGTCGGTGCAGTCAGGAAGCTGCCTGAGTCTTCCATCGCACCCCTTGGTGGCTGTGACACCCTGGGGTGCGGTGTGTATTCCCCGAGCCCTGGAGTGCAGCTGGATGTCCCTGCTGGCTGGTGGCCCCCATGGGCAGCCCAGGGTCACCGTCTGTGCCCCCTCCCAAGGGCCTGGACACCTTGTCTGCCCTGGGGGGAGCCGGGGAACGGCACGTGGCAGGGACTCACATTCACACTCACACACACACCCGTGGGCAGTCGCTGTCCAGGCCCCGAATGCTGCCTGAGCGTGTCTGGGTCCCAGCTGGCCCCAGGCCCTCTGAGCTGGCTGCTTCCTCACCGAGGAGCCTCTCCCTCAGGGGACTCCTGTGATGCTGGTGTCACTGCTGTGGGCCTGGGGCCCTTGTGTGCATCGCGTGGCCCTCTGGTCTCAGAGGTCCTCACAGTGCTGAGGGGTGCAGGCCCAGCTTTGGGGCTCTGTTGGAAGACCTTTCCATGTGTCTCCTGGGGCCACAGCAGTGCCACTTCCTCTTTCAGCCTGAAGACAGACCGGAAGTCGGGAAGGGAACTTCAGCTAATGTCTGTCAGGCTGAGTCCAGCTCCCCACAGTGCTGTCAGCTGGCGTCTGTCAAGGACTCCGGTTTCCCAGACTCCTGGGACGGTTAGGGCTGGAGGCAGAATGGACACCATGGCCTGTGGGGCTTTGGACAGTGATGCCCGGAGCCTGGACCCTGCTGTGGAGCCCGGGCACTGCCGAGTGGACGGGCCCAGCTGTCCTGAGGAGGACTGCGCCGCTGGCCACAGCTGGTGTCCCGGGCGAAACTCACTGAGCCGAGCTTTTGGCCCAATTCTCCTCATCGAGAGAGAGCTCAGGCCGTCCTCCCCTAGTGTGGTGCCCTCAGGCCTAGCCGGCTCGGCCCACCCCGGGCTCCCAGATCATCCATCCTCCACGGCGCTGTCTGCTGCCTTCTGTGCCCCTCACTGTGCTCCAGACCTCACGAGGCTGCAGGGCTCCGGTGACGTATAGCCGCCCTGCTGGTGTGCGCAATCAGCTGCAGAAACCACGAGTCGGTTTCCGGGCTGACGCAGCCCAGCACCCCCCACTCCATCCCGTCTCCTCCCGGTCGGCAGAGAACAGAGGACAGTGAACACCAAGCTGCGGGCTCTTCCTTCCTCCGTGGACATGAGAGACTCAGGGGGTGATTTTTCCTTTGAAGTTAGGTGGCTTCATCAGAAGGTGGGCAGAGAAGCCTGCGGATATCAAAGCAGTGTCCCAAGGTCACGATGGGTATAAATAGATGTCGCCAAGGGGCTGGGAAGCTGGGTGGCTGGTGCTATGCAAAGTGACCGCACGGGCAGGTCTGGAAAGTCCCCTGCAACCTCAGATGCAGTTCAGTAGCTTGGAGAACCAACCTCTGTGCACAGAGAGGGGACGGCAGCAAGCAGTCCCGGAGCCACCAAAGCTGTCACCTGGCCAGAAGGCTGGGCTGCAGCTCACAGGTGCACAGTGGATGCCTACCTGCCCAGGTGCTCCCGGGCCTGCAGCCCATGCTGTGCATGTGTTCCCTGCTCTGGGCCCTGGGTGTCCTTCACTGGATTGCAGTGTGACGCACCTGGCTCGGTGCTCCTTCTGCACAGTGTGTCCTCCCCCCGGGTCCTGCACACCACCCCGTGGTGTCACGGGCCAGGGATGAGGCCCAGCAGCTGGGCCACAGCAGCAGCCTCATGGGCAGGTGCCAGCTGCCCACGTCACCCTGGCCAACCAGGCCCGATCCTCTCCCCTGGCAGCCGGCCACTCTCCAGGTCCAGGAGAGCTGGGACTTGCCCAGGCCTGTGAAGAGAGGGCTTTTTCCTGTGCCCTTGGCTGCGGCCCTCAGTCATTCCCGGGAAGAGAACTTTCCCTCACAGCAGCTTCTCAGCTGCTCTGTTGCTGCTCGAGGGCACAGGGGACCTCGCCTCAGAGCCAGGGTGATGTGTACAGTGCCCGCTGGAGGGACCAGGTGGCGCCCTTCCTGGGCAGTCTGGAACCACACCTCCTGGAAGGGCGCAGCCGAGGCCTCCCTCAATCCACAGGGGTCAGGGTGGGCAGAGAGAACCAGGGTGCAGCCCAGATCCCAGCTGGTGAGGGGAGGTAGGGAGCAGGGAGCGGGGAGTGCTGGGGAGGGAAGGGCTTGGCCAGCTCTAGGCTGGACCCTCTGGTCCCTCAGGGCAGGGGCACGGGGACCCTGGTCCCGGACCACAGCCCTGGATGGGATGCTGTGGGGATGGCTGGTCTAGAGCCAGCCTGGCCTGGACACTGTCCCCAAGGGCCACATGAGGCCTAGGGGCTCCCCAGTGACAGAGTGCTGCATTCTCCCATGGGGTCCATGGCTGAACCCCCTCCCAGAGCTGGCCACACCTCAGAGGAAGGCCCTGGGTTCTCATGTCAAACCCCACTCCCCTGGGCCCTGTCTCTCCCCACAAAAATCTCCTTCGTGTCCCTTCCCCGTGTGAAGGCAGGACCACCATCCTCAAGGAAGTGTGGAAAACTTCCTGGGACCCCTGAGAACCTTCTTGTGAGACTGGGGACGGAGGGGCAGCCAGGAGGAGGGCTCTGGTCCCACTGCAGGGACCCAGGGTGGGGAGGGCTCCACAGAGGGGTGGCTGTTGGACAGGGACTTCTAGCCCTGGCGGGATGTGGGCAGGGAGAGAGCTATGGCCTGAAGCCCACATCTGACGGCAGGCCCTGGACTCTGGCCCTTTCTGGGCTGCAGGAGTCATCAAGGTCAAAGCCACTCCTGGACCCACGTAGCCTGTGGCTCCTCAGCCCCAGCCCCTTTCTGACAGCCTGGGCTTGGGAGGAGATAAGGACAGTGGGCTGAGCGGGCCCCACTCAGGGACCCCTGGGATGCCCAGCTTCCTGAGCCCCCATCCCGAGTCACCAGGTGGCTATACATGGGCACAGCTGCAAGCTCCCTGCACCCCTCCCTGCACCCCGGCTCCTGGGCCTCCCGGGAGCAACAGGGACGATCCTGAATATTGTGCAACAGCGCCGAGTTTTAATGCTCTCAGGGAGATGTCTGGGCCCCTCCTGACCACATCCAGAGCCCACGTGGGGATGCAGATGGGACACTAAGCTCTTCTCCCGCCATGCCTACCGCTCAGCCTGGCCAGTGCAACCTGTGCGCCTGTCCTTCCTGGGGCTGAGGGCACAGGCCTCACGTGCCTGCCGGTGCTGCGTGATGCTGACCTCAGGGCCTCCTGCAGGAGTGGGCAGAGCACTGGACTATGTCCCTGAGAGGCCGCGGTGCCCACGGCAGGTCCTGTGCACACCTGGGTCACCTGGCAGCACTGCTCCAGAACCTCCAGAGGACAGCAAATCGTCCAGTTCCTTCTGTGCAGCCGCGCGGATGCCCTGTGGGACCTTAGCCACCACTGTGCCTCCCGTCCCTCGTGTGCTGGGGCCTCTGGGGAAGCTGGGGGGCTGAGTCCAAGGGTCCTGGGCATGGTGGGACCACTGGCACCGGGCGGAGACCTCTGGAGGGCTCTGGTGGGTCTGGGACTGGCTTGAATCCCCGATCACATTCTGCTTCCGGGAAGGAGGTGCACTCCTGTCCCTGTGCCGAGATGGCTTAGGGCAGCCAGGTGCACAGTGACTTTCTCTGAAGAAAACTCCACTTAGCTTTTGGGCAATACGAGCAAGGTCCATTATTCCTCCTGCTGAAGATGGCAGAGGAGGTGAAGCTCGAGGGTGCTCCAGGGCCTGCAGTGTAGACCGTTTCCCACGTCTGTGCCTACACACTCACACACAGTGTGCGCACACTTGCACACAGGAGCTCCCAGGGCAGAGGGCAGCCAGTGAGCCCTGCAACTGAGTCTCCTGCAGACAGCGGGTGTCCTCCTGCTCTGTGCTGTGAGCCCAGAGCCCTGCCTTCAGTCTGGGACTGTAACTGCCACGCTGAGCTGGGTGTGGCCGGGGCCCGGCACCAAGTCCTGGCGATCTTGGCATCTGCGGCTCCGAGGGTGGGCGGCCTTCGCTTGGCTGTGATGCACGGGCTTCCCTCGGGGTCAGGGGCAGCCCCTGCGTCCCCGCAAGGCCCGCACTCCTGACCTGACACGGCACACGCCCTGAGCCTTGCGTTCCTATTGCGGCCAGGCCCGTGGGGGGGGGCATTCTCAAGCTGCATCTGACCCCACGGGGCAGCGTCTCACAGATGCCCCGCCCACGTCCTGGGCAGTGAGTTCCTGTCAGGAGTGGTCTGCGAACAGGAGAAAAGGGAAATGCCAAACACTGGCGCCTCCATTTTTCTTTTTCTTATAGCACCTGGCACGTGCTGGGAAAGCACTTACCACTGAATGCCCCGCTCCCTGGTCATCACGGCGGAGCCTGACCAGGGACTCAGACTTGTGAGGACAGCTGCCCACAGGGGCCCTGACTCCCGCAGGACAGCCCTGGCTCTGGGGCATGCACACAGGATGGGATCCTGCGCCAGGGTGCCCACAGAAGTGCTGGGCCCATCACTGGCTTCATGGGGTGTTCAAGGCCAACAATGCAAGTTTTCTGTTTTGCGGGGGTTCTGGGGAGGGAATGCAGGACCTTGCACTTGCAAGACAGGCAACAGTGCCACTGAGCTACATCTCCAGCCCAACAACTCAAGTTTTCTGAACACAAAAGCAGACCAGCAGCCAGGCCAACATCCAGGTAAACTCACCTGTGAGCTCCTGCTCCTGCGTCACAGCCCGGGCACCTGTGAGTCGAAACGGAGATGCTCAGGGCCGAGCAGGGTGTAGCTGGTACTCTGAAGACCCCAGGGTCCCCAGCTAACAGCAGCCCACGGCCTCTGCCTGGCCGGGTGCCCCCGCTCGTGCTCCTGGCTAGAAGGGGCACCCAGGCCATCCTGCCATGTGACAGTGCGTGAGGCCCTCTGTCCTGGGCTCAGAGTGGCAGGGGCAGCGTGGGCGGAAGGAAGTATTTCTGCAACACCGCTGTCCCCTCCATCCTGCAGCCTCTGGGTGCCAGGAGGGAGGGCCACACAGTGGCCCAAGCTCAGGGCCTTCCCATCCGCCCAGATCACTTTCTGGGCCTGCCCTCGGGTCTCACAGAAATGCAGCCAGACAGCCTCTCCTCAGCTGGCTTCCTGTCCCCATCTCCGGACCCAATCCCCGGCTCCCCAAAACCCGCCCCGCCCTCTGGCTCGGCTGCACCTGGAACTCAGTGCCTAGAGACGCTGGGCTTTGTGTCAGCTTCGTGCTAGCACCTCCCAAGTAAGCCCTGGGGTGAAACCTACACTCACTGAACTGGGGGGTTTAGAAGGCGGGCGCCCACACCGACACGGGAAGTGTGCACACCTATCTCGTACGCACCTGTGTAGCTTCTCGGACGACATTTGGCCCAGGTTCCGGCCAGGGCCACGGCCACCACCCCCAGGACGGCGATGACGATGGTGACAGCCCTGCTGCCTTCCCCGGGGGCCAGGCCCGGGGTCTCTGTGATCCTGCTGGTGTTGCCTCCGGCGGAAGGCTCTGCGGGAAGAGGGGCAGAGCTTTTCTCCTCGGCCACAGGAGGGTCCTGTGGGGCATGTGTGCCCCAAAGAGCCCTGTTCACACCCTCGTCCCATCTGCAGGTACCGGCTACTGCCGGACACAGGAGCCCAGCCCTGACCCTGAGAGGCGCTGTGGAGAGGCGGGTTCTCCTGGCTTTTAATCGGGTGGAACGCATGGACACAGTCACATTTCCAAGTGGCCATCCGGCGGCCACAGGCGGTACATTCGCAGTGCTGTGCAGCTGTCACCCCAAGCGAGCGGTGCCCACTGGCAGCCACACCCCACCCGCTCCCCCTGCGGAGGCCGCCTCTGCTCTGCTTCCTGGCCCTGCGGCTCCATTCTGCACACTTCCTGTGAATGGAGTCGCACCACGGCCTGGCCCGGGCACCTGGATTTGGTCACTGGTCACCGAGTCCTTGGTGTCCACCCCACGGCCCGGTGCCAGAGCCTCCATCTTCTGGCGGAGTGGGGTCCCTGGTGAGGCAGCCCCACTGTGCTTGGCTTCTGGGGTGGGTGCGTGGAAGGTGCCCACTCCTGGTACTGAAGCCACTGCTGTGGATGGTCACAGGTGTCCGCTCAGTCCTCGTCTGGGGTGCACCCGCCGGGTGCGTCCATCCCCAGCTGTGCTCTCTGAGGGCCCCAGGCCCCTCTGTCTGCAGCACTGTCCCATTCTTTGCTTCTTCTTTTCCTTCTCCCGGCAGCAAGGCGTGCAGGGCCAGAGCCTCCTGGCAAACCAGCAGCTGCCACCCGGCTTCTCGTTACGAATGCCCACATGGCTCCGAGTGCCACCAGAGACTGGCAACCGTGGCAGTGGGTCAGCACTGGACGTGCTCTCTGGTGTCGTCTGGGTGTGCAAACCCCGCCTCCACGCTGGGCACCGGCCCAGAGGCCCTGATCCTTGGCTCCACCTCCCGGGGCTGCTTGGGCAGCTCTGGGGTGGGGTGGGGTGGGGCAACCCTCACCCTGTCCCTGCAGGCACGGCAGGGCGCAGGCCCGGGGCCCTGAGCTCAGAGGCCTGCTCAGTGCGTGGCCCACTGGCCATCCCAGTGCTCGGCGTGTCCCCCATCTGGTCTGGCATCCAGCCCCGGCTGCTTCAGTGGCCCTGAGAGTACAGCCACGTTTCTGCAGCTGGGCCAGAGGGCACAGCTGCCCTCCTGCCTCCACTTCCCGCCCCTCCTGACCCAGGCAGCAGAGTCCCGGCCAGCACCCTGCCAGGCCCCTCCACAACCTGGTCTTGTGGCTTCTCAGGTGCCCAACCCTGGGGGAGCCCGGGCCGTAGTCTGCGGGGGAGGCTGAGCCAGGAGGCGCCTGGGCCTTTGAGGCTGCACTGCTCACACGGCCAGCCGGAGGGGCTCAGCCTCTGCCCCTCCCGCCTGCCTACCTGCAGGGCCGCTGCTGGTGAGGTTCTGCTGCAGGAGCACGTTCTCTATGCAGCAGCCCACGCTCGGGCTGGGCACCCAGGGCACAGTCAGCACACTGACCACGTCGTACAAGCCGCGCACATTCAAGGACACCGTGTCGTTGTGCAGAGCCCTGTCCAGCAGGCTGGCGTCCGTCCTGTTGATCCAGTACACCTTGGGCTGCGGGTAGCCGTCGGTAGATGTGCAGGTAAAGGTGAGCACCTGGTCCTGAGAGGGCCCACTGGGGGTGCTGGCCACGAGCCTGCCGACCACGGGCATGCTGAAGTTGGCTGCAGGGACAGGTGGGCAGTGAGCAAGGTGTAGATCCTGGGGTACATGTTGCAGGCAGGCTGGAGCACAGGGCCCCCCAGCAGTGGGGCTGGGCCGGGGCCCCTCAGGCCTGATGGCCCTTGTCGCTACCCTAACAGGGGGTGCCCCTGAGCCCCTGCTCTGGGTCCTAGTGCTCCTCTCTGGTGCCACAGCTGTCACCTGCCAGACTGCACCCTGAGCTTCTGGGTTGCGTGTAAGTTTCCTCTAAATTCTGATCTCATTTGGTGGCTTAAAGAACCCTAACTCATTTCTTAAATGTCTGTAATTTAAATTTTTAAGGTTTATTTTTATTAATGCAGTACATAAGGATGACATTTATTGTGGGGAGTTGGTGCATGGACATAGCACATATTAATTCTTTTTGCTTCCCCTTAATTTTTTTTTTTTAAGACTGGTCTCACTATGTAGCCCAGGCTGGCTCTGAACTCATGGGGAGCCCCCTGCCTCAGCCTCCTGAGTACTGGGATGACAGGTGTGCACCACCATGCCCCGTCCTAACTCATTTTCCAAAAACTACTTAGAGTTGCAGAGTTCAAGGAAAAGATCGTAAGATGGGACCCTGGGGAACCAGGTGGCCCCGGTTCGTTGTGAATGGAGCATTCCCATGAGCACTTTCTCCAGGCCCAGGCTGGATGCCATGAGACCGCCCAGTCTTACCTGCCACCCGAAGTGTGACCACGGCTTCCAGAATCTTCCTCATGTTCAGGGACTTCCTGAACACCAGGCAGGTGAACTTCTGTGCATCCTGCGGAGTGACGTTTCGTAAATGCAGTGAGAAGTTGCCCCGCTCCACGCTGTCCAGCGATAGGTGGGCCCGGCCCTGGTAGCGGCTGTCAGCTTGCCCCGAGGAGTTGTTCCTGGGGATGTGGTACGTCACCGCAGTGTTGGACTTGCTGATTTGCCAGTAAATGTACACGTCGTCCAGGTCAAAATGCAGCCTCCCGGGGTACACGCAGCTCAGCAGACAGTGGCTGCCCACCTTTGCTCTGACTTCTGTCTGTTGAATCTCTGCAAAGATTCGAAGAGGAGACATTTATCTTCCCGGGCAACTCTTTGCTTTGGAGGCACCCAGGCTTCAGGGTCACAAGATTCCAACACACAAGCTGGGGCTGGTGGCGCACACCTGTAATCCCAGCACCTGGGAGGCTGAGGCAGGAGGATCACTGAGTTTGAGGCCAGCCTGGGCTACATATCGAGTTCAAGGCCAGCCTGAACTACCTAATAAGACCCTGCCTCAACAAACAAACAAACAAACAACAGACTCAAACACAATTCTGAGTCGACAAAGCAAAAAGGAGTCTGTTAGCAGGACACATGCAGGACCGGGGGCCGTGTCCCAGAAGCCAGCACTACTCTCACCACTCCTGCATCTTGGGAGTACCTGATTAATGCACAATAGAAAGGACTTAGAACCACAGGCATGGAAGGAGAACAATGTCTCTCTCAGCCACATTTACAATGCTGGCTGCACAGGGGTGGCCCTACCCTCCCGCCTCCAGGACCGGGGCGAGTCTGACTCCAACGCGTTCGGCCCAGGGTCCCTGCATCTGCGCATCCCTGCTTTCAGGCTCCTCCAGCAGAAGCTTTCAGAGCTCCGTAGGGTGACGGGCAAAGAGGCCGGGATGAAGAGGCTGCCCCCAGCGCGGAGGAATGACAGCGGCCCCGCCCAAGCTGGGGGACATGAAGTAGGAAGAGGAGACAGGTTTGCCTCTCTGGGCTTCAGTCCTGCACGTGGACCCGGTCTAGGTCCTCAGAAGAGCCACGGGAAAGGAGGAAGGGCAGCGAAGGCTCCCCAAGCTTCCCTCCCAGCCTCTGACCTGCACCCCAAACTTACCAGCACTCAGGCCGCTGAGCAGCAGTAAGAGCAGGCTGGGGCTGGAAAAAACCACCAGAAAGGCAGGTGAGACAGGGCGGCAGGTGGGGTACCTGCTTTCTCCAGGGCACTCCTGGCAGGAAGTGCTGATACTGCTCAGAAGCGGAACTCGGGACACACCTCCTGGCCCGCACAAACCCCAGAAAAGCAACTACAGTCTGACCCCCTGCTGACCTGGCTCTCCTGGGGATGGATTCCAAGACACCAGGAGTCCCGGGAAACCAGCTTTCCCAGCTTGGATAGCCAGTGCAAAGCCAGAGCCAGCACTCAAGATTCAGGGCTGTGCAAGCCCCTGGGGGCCCCATCGTCCTCCCACGGTGCCCCCTCTGCTGGGGGGGGCAAGGCCATCCTATCTGCCAGGACCCCTCAGGGCAGCTGCGGCTTCCCCAGGGCCACGCAGGGAAAGCAGCCTGCCCGGGGCCTGCAGCCCGTCCTTGGTGTGTGTGCGGAACTCACCATCCCCTGCCCAGGAAGCCCACAGCCCCAGTCCACGCCCCCTGGGGAGGCAGTAAAGATGCAGCAGGGTGCAGGTGGTCAGGCAGGAGGACTCTAGACTTCTACCCCCACTCTCCCAAGGGCACTGGCTTAACCCCCTATTGGTAAGGCGGCTGTGGGCAGACTGCGGTGGGGCTCCTGGGTGCACCAAGTGGGGGCCAGGGTGCCACCCTACAATGCACCCTGAAAGGGATGCGCACACTGGCGGAAAATCGCGGCTGTCACCACTGCCCTTCCTTCCAGCAGGCACCCTCTTCCCCAGCTTGGATTGGCGAGTGGAGAGGACCCTGACTGAGAGGACAGGCTGTGTCCCCAGAGGGTGGGCACCGCGGCCCCAAAGGCATCGCAGCGTGGTCAAATCCTTCCTTATTCTGGGAAATCAGCCGCCTGGGAGGAAGGAGGGGCAGCTGGTGCTGCGCTCTGGGTCCCGCCTCCTCCCGCGTCCACACCGCCGCAGGTGACCGCGCCCCGACTCAGGGACCCACCGGCGTCCGCCTCAGGCTC